AGCAGCTTGGAGAGCAGTGTCCTGCTGGTAAGTCTGTGGGTGAGAAGGGGCATGGGGGGGGCTTGTGAAGGTGTAGGGCTTGTGGGAGGGGTTGTGAAGTGGTGGGGGGTATAAGTGTGCATGGGGGAGTTGTGGGCAGGTGTGGGAATATGGGGTTTGTGGAAGGGTGAGAGTATGGGAGGGTGTGGGGTTTGTGAGGGTGGTGTGGGCTTTGTGGGTGGCTGTGGGCCCTCCTGCCACATGCTTTGCCCCACCCATGCACGGTCCCCGCTGCTGCCGCCAGCAGCAGGTGGTGGGCCCTCAGGGTGTTCATGGCCATGGCAAACAGAGCCCCTCAGTAGTGTGCAGCTCCAGCTGAGTCCCGGGGGCTGCACATGGCAGTATGGAGCCAGTCCAGCCTGGCCTGCTGGTGCATATCTTCACATCAGACCAGGCTGGCTCCATGCCAGCACATGCAGCTTGCAGTGCTGCAGGTACGAGCTACATGCCATTGGGCAGGGCCAGCTCCATGCCTCCATGTGGGGCTTCCTGCACTCCAGCGGGGTCCGGGAGCTGCACATGAAGACATGGAGCCCACCTGGCCCAATGGTGCATGCAATTCCTGCAGCTCCCAGTCCCTGTACCGTCGAGCCAGGCAGACTCCGTGCCTCCATGTGCAGCTTCCTGACCCTGCTGGGGTGCAGGAAGCCCCACATGAAGGCACAGAGCTGGACTGGCCCAGCCCAATGGCGTGTGACTCCCACCTGCAGTGCTGCGAGCCCCATGTGCTGGCACAGAGCCAGCCTGGTTTGGCCTGAAGGCTTGTGCCAGCAGGCCAGGCCAGCTCCATGCCACCACATGCAGCCCCCAGGACTTGGCTTGAGCTGCGCGCTGCTGGGGAGCTCTGCCTGCTGCAGCCATGAGTGCCCTGAGAGCCTACTGCCTGCTGCTCCTGCTGATGGCAGGGCTGTGCACCATGGGGGGGGCACTGCTGGGGAGGGCCCTACACCCACCCACAAATCCCACACCCAACTCCCCTCCTGCAGGCAGAAGCCCTGCTCTCCATTCACCGGCTGTCCAGTCATGTGCCACTGCTCTCGGTGGCTCCACATGGGGTTCCCAGATGGAGTACTGGAAGCCCCATGGAGTTGGAGGCCCAGAGCCTGCCCGGTCCAATGGTGCACGACCTCTGAAAGCCCATGCCTCCCACCAGCTTTCAGAGGTGCAGCCATGGGTCAGTAATGTTTTCTGAAGGGGACCTGTGGGCTGGACAGAATGGCCTGGCAGGCCAGACCTGGCTCGCGGGCCATTTTTTGCCTGCCCCTGGGTTACTTACTCTCATCTTCACTGTATCAATCCAAGCATTTGGCATGGCAGGATGTTTTCTACCCCATGAGTGGAAAAACTTTTTCAGTTGCCTATGCTGTGAATCTGTTTGGGTTGAAGGACATGTTGGGGCCTTCTGGGTTACAAAAATTTTCTCAAGTGAATAGTTCTGGGCCCACCTTTCCCAAGGGAGCATCCCAGGACTAGAGAAAACAAAACTATATTTCAGAGCTTTCTACTAAATGAACCCTTCAACCTAAAACACAAAGCCAGGCACACTCAAAATTAAAAGTTACTTTAATATTGGGTGTAACTCTCAATCAAAAGCCAGGGATTGGGAAGTTCAGGCTGAGATTCCTGATTCATGTTCTTGTGTCTTTGTTTTTATCGTTTCTAAAAACAGAGGTGCTAAAAACAGTGTGTCACTGGCAGCTTTAATACTGAATTTCATAATCTTGAGTCACAGATGCACGGGATTATTTTAACCCATTTATTTTATGTAATACTGTAGTAAATGTGTTTGTTCCTGTTTGTACCAAGAAATCCAATACACAGAAAATAGGCAGTTTTTGTTGGCTACTCTTAATGGTAGATCTTCATTGCATAGTTAATCTGGGAGACCAGTTTTGTCATCCCTCCAGCAAAGCCCCACTCATTATTGTCTTCTCTATTTCTGCACTTGCCTGTGTGTGTTAGGTGGCACATCTACAGGTTTTTAATGTTAAAGCACCCACAGATCCTCAACTCTGTTAGAGGAACTGGTTAGTCCTTTGTGGGGAACTACTAGAAGAACACTGGAGCACTATAAAGACTCAAGTGACTTTGCCTGTGTTCACACAGTGAAGCGGGCAGGTTCCAGACAGTTAAAGCAAAGCTATAAGCCAGTGACTCTCAACTAGGGTGCCAGGGCATGCTAGGGTGCCATGAGATCTTTTAAAGAGTGCTAAAGGAAGTGAGAGATTAGCAGGTAAGAGCAGTCCCAGGCTTCAGGTGAGTTGGGGTCGGGCCCAGGGGCCCCTGCCTCTGAAGAGAAGATGAAATTGGGTCCTGGGCTGGGCTGGATGTGTGCAATGTAGCAGGCCATAGCTGCTGGCACCACTGCAGCCGAATTGAGCTGCAGCAGGGCTAGGGGCCACCCCTGGAGCTCGATTTGCACTGCATGCACCCGGCAGGCAGTGGCTCTGAACCCCAGTGCTGCTTCCAGTGTGGACCTGCATGCAGGGGGGGTCGTGGCTCCTGCCCTGGGCCTTGGGGGCAGTGCATCCCACTCCGGCGGCTGCTCCCGCTGCACTGGCCAGAGATGGAGCCTGCAGATGAGGGGCAGGACGCAAGTCGGGGGCCCTGGACTGTTGGGGAGGGGGCGGGCCCAAGGCCCCAATTAAACTTAATCCACCCTTGCCCTCTGCAAGAAAGTAAGCACAGTAATAAGTCCGTTTTTGAAATAAACTGCTATTCAATTCCCAACAGTTATGGAAGAATGCCTTCAGTCCAGCAAGGGGTGGCTGAGTCTAAAAAGGTAGAGAACTGCTTTAACCTTATCTCCAGCAAAGGACAGTAGCCTGAGCTTAGAAAATGTTTTCATCAGGTTAAAGGGACTTTTCTGTGAAAATGGGGGTGTGGTTTGTTTGGGTTAAAATCCAGATGCAGTAAAAACATACCATTGGTTCTCTACTGCTCATTTCTTAAAAAAATTAAATCTGAAATTTCATGTGTGTAACAATTTGCACTACTCTCTTTCTTTCTTTTCTTTTTTTTTGATCTACTGACAGTTCCAGGAATTCTTAGTATCGGTAAAGATTATATAAGAGCTTAGTTTTCAGATACATCTTGATACTATTGCATAGGGAATAAGAATGATGTCCTATACTTTACATACGTGTACACAGAGAAATTACTTCATTTAGTATTGGTATGAAGACACTTCTGGGGTAGAAGAAAGTGCAGAGCAATGTTACAATGGTATAAGGGAAGGAAAGAAAACCAGTATTACAGACAATCTGAACCATATAGAGGAGTCAGGAGAGAAAGAAAGTAATTTCTCATGTTATAATTTGGCTAGGGCTCAGATGTTGTCATGCTAACACATGAATAGTACATCTTCAGTTAACATTATTGAAGGTGATTTAAAGACCTTGTTCTTAATTAACATCTTCCAGATGAGATGTCTGCACAGTGGTATATTCTGATACAGAAACAGAATGTAAAACTGTATCTAAAACTAAATGTATCTGTGAGCACATTATACAAGTGAAGTATTAAAGGAATGAAAAACACTACCAAGAATCTTATTAAATAGTTAATGATGCATCAGGTACTTAAATGAACATTCACTTCAACACTTTGAGCATCCTTGACTCAATACTGTAGAAACAGAAAGTAATAGATACCAGGATTTATTACAGACCATAAGGCCCCAAGGTACCATTATGATCAGAAGTATTTATCTTGCCCGTAGTATAACTACTATGCATATAAGACACACAGAGTTGTTCTCTCCCTGTTACTTTTTCCCCCTGATATAGATTCTCCAGATCAACTGTAGAAGCCCCCTCATAATCCCCATAGCAAATACTGAGATAGCAGACCTCTGTATTTGATATTGGTGGGGAGGAGTGTAATCAGCTGCACCGCTGCACTATCCTCACAGGCCACAAAATCAATAAAGAGGCATGTTGGTGGACTGAGGATTTTGAAAAGTGGGGTTGTAGATGGTGTGATGCATCTTCCCATAAAACACAAACTACATATTTCTCCAGGTAAAAAGGAACTAGAAACTTTACTCATGTGCTAGGGGTATAAGACTATATTATTCAGTTTAAGATCAAAGCAAAAAGTAATGTAACTTTATTGGAAGGAGTTAAAAACAGTATGCAGGACAGTGAAACAGGAGCTACATTACCAGGAACAGCCAACAGGCAGCAGAATTGCAGAACAAAGGATAGCTTGATTAGTAGAACATCAAGACCTTTAAAAAGGAGAGGGTCATTAACACCAGTGGAATGAAGAGTTTAGAAGGAATCAGTTAGGTTTTAATGAGCCATTAATTCATTTGACTCCCTTATTATTACCTGAATAGAAATCCTACTGCCACTGCCAGGCAGTTGGCTTTAAATTTAAGGAGGAGCAAGAATCAAAGAAAGGCTACAACTGCACCAGTGCACCCTGTCTGGATCCGCCTCTGGAAGGCAGTAGCTGTGGCCCTGTTTATAGAGTATTTAATCTGCAATGGAAAATTCAAGTATCTCTCTCAACATGGGGAATCATGCTAAGGTTCTTTGCTTCATTTTTAGTTGAGATCCCAGATCATGCATGACTAGTTTTGATAGATTGATTTACACAAGCTATATCATGCTTATGTTGATAAACATAATTTACCAAAGTTCTGAATATCATCACACAGCTAAAGCTGGTTAAAATACAATTTAAAAAAAAAGAAAAGAAAGAAAGGGAGGAAGGGCATTTTTGAAGGAAAAAAGTTTACAAACTTTTTCTTTCCACACAAGTCCTATTGTCTGGGTGCCAACGAATTCATAGATGAATATACAAAAGGCTGACTTAAGTATTACCACATTTTAATGATCTAAAAGGAGTATCAGAAGCTTTCAACAGGTTCATTAGCTTGTGGTGAAAAATGTCATTGAAAATCTAATCCCTGATGACATTTTTAAATTTCTGTTGCAATAGGAATAATATTCTACAAAAAGGCACTTTCCTTGTTTATCCCTCTGCTTTTTAATTTGATTCATATGGAATAAAAAAATGTATTAATTGTTCTTCCTGTCATCATCTTTGCTTATAAAGGAGACACCATTCTTTAGCATCAAGGAGTATCAAAAGGATTTTCAAGAAAATTCAGGCACGATCCTTTCAAACACATTTATTTATCATCTGTGTTAAAAAGACACTATCAACTTGAAATCTGGGACATTAAAAAAATAGAGCCAAGTAATTGCAGAGTCTCAACCCTTCTTTTGACCATAGTTGCTTTTCTGATTTTTACAAGCATGTTTTCCTTTTATAAACAGAGGAAAACAACTCTGACTACAAGTAAAAATGACTGCCCACAAGATGCTGTTAAATGCACAAAGGACACAAATGAGAAAAATGTGTCTCCAATCAACCAGTTAGGGTTAGTTTAAGACATACCTATAAAAAGCAAAAATGAATAGAGACCTTCTTTCTGCCCATTGCCTGCTCTACCCCTGCCCCGGTAAATTTATGATGTTCTTTTGAGAATAATACTACAGGCTATAGACCCCACTATTTTTTATCCTGTATGGTCATTTGCACAAAATGGGTGCAAATGCTACACATATTTCTTTTCTGGTAGCACTTTACACCTGTATTGCAGAGATGCCATGGTTAAGCAAGGCCCAACAAATGGAGAATCAGATCCAAATGGTTCTATAGCAAAGAGGATTGGAGCCAAAAGAATCTGGTTCACTTACTGTCATGTAAATGGAAGTATCTCCTGTGAAATCAATGCACATGCACTGGCATAAGCTAGGTGAAAATCTGATGCTCCAAAGATAAATTTCAATTAATCTGTAGAATATAACAAATAATTCTTCCAGATACTATCCAGAATATGGAGAGGGCTCGTTTTTCATTAATGCAGGCACATTCAGGAGTAATAATCCAATTTAATCAGTGTACTTGCACCACAGTAAAACCAGTGTGAGAGGAGAGTCAGGTCTCCTGACTTCATGCTTTTTTAAACCACTGGGTGGAGAGGTAATACAAAAAGTTACTCTGGACTCCTCTTTGTTATATCTAACTTGTATGTGCTCACAGATCATAGTTCAGTTGTTTCTACAACTGAACTGGTCACACTTGAAAACAGGCTGGCAATACAGGGTGACTTGGACAGGTTCACAAGGTGGGCAAACCTCAACTAGATGTTGTTTAATATGGAGAAATGGCAAGTGCTCCATCTGGGGAGAAATAATCCACAACGCACTTACAGGCTTAGCAGTGCTACACTTGCTAGGACCACATCTGAATGAGACCTGGGTGTCATGATAGGCAACAAAATCCACGTGAGCTACCAATGTGATGCTGTAGCTGGCAGAGCTAATCAAACACTGGCATGCATCTACCAATGCATCGCAAGCAAGACTAAGTATGTCATCTTCCCTCTCTATTCGGCCTTGGTCAGACTGCAGCTGGAGTACTGAGTCCAGTTCTGGGGGCTGCACTTCAGAAAGGATGTGGAGAAGCTTAAGAGAGTCCAAAGGAGGGCCATGCACATGATTAGAGGCCTAGAGACTAGGTCATATGAAGAGAGGCTGAAAGACTTGGGACTGTTTGGGTTGGAAAAGAGAAGACTCAGAGGGGGCTTGGTGGCAGCCTATAAATACATCAGGCCCTGAGGAAGCTTTTATTCACCAATGCCCCACAGGGGAGGACAAGAAATAATGGGCACAAGCTGATTGAGGATCACTTCAGGCTAGACATAAGGAAAAACATCTTTACAAGTCGAGCGCCAAGGGTTTGGAACAGGCTCCCTCCAGAAGTGGTACAGTCATCCACCCTGGCGATTTTCAAAAAGCGTCTTGACGCCCATTTTGCTGGGGTCATCTGATCCCAGCAGTCTTTCCTGCCCCTTTCCTGCCCAAGTGCAGGGGGGCTGGACCTGATGATCTGTAAGTCCCTTCCAGTCTCTAACATCTGTGAAACTACAGGTGACAGAACAGTTAAGCAGGCAATGTGAATACTGACATAAGCAAAAGGGTAATGAGCCATTTGAGAATCCTTTTTGGTAGAATACTGCTAGACGTGCCTAAAGATATGCAGTGCTTCATTCAATCTGAGATGACAAAGGAGCACATCTTTTTATTCCATAATCTCTTACCTGAGGATATTTTTTCTTCTACCTGTAATCCAATCCCTTGCCATATATATACTGAAATGATAATTCATTGTACCTTCTCTTCCCTCCAATACACACATTATGGAATGTAAAGGAACAAAAAACTATGAGTTACATAGACCAGATGTAGCATCCTCATGGGTAAATACAACCTTGTAAATGCATCCACTGTTTAAAAAGGGCAAGGGGGGAGGAGGGGAAGAAAGATGAGCTCACAGTCCATTTCTGCATTTCCTGATGTGCTGTTATTAATTTTCAGTGTCTGTAACATCTTCGTGACTGCATATCACACCTGCATCTTCTTTATGGCTGCAGTTGTGTTTGCCAATGTCTGCGTGTACGCACTCCAGCAGGTTCTGCTCCTGTCCCGAACACTGAACATCATCAAGAAGAATATTAAGTGAATCCCCTTCCCCAAACTCTGCTTTCTTGGTGGCCCTAACAACATGGGGGAACCCTAACTGATGACACACCACTGCTGCTGCATGAGAGTTCCACAAGTCATCACAGACTGTGCCCCACTCTCCATTGATGTAAATCTCCACCCTTCCCCGGTCTCTTCCTCTTGCTTGCCTGTTCATCAGTCGCACCGCACCATTCTGGGGTTGTGGAGGAACACTGGGTTTTTTCTTCCTCCGCCCTCTTCTTTCCCCACTCTTTCCTCCTTTCCTGGGCTTTGGGGGCTTGGTTGTTGACTTTGGGGGCTTGGTTGTTGGCGTTCTGGTGGTAGTCTGCAATCTATTTTGATTTCTAAGAAGGTCCAAGAGTTGTTCGATCCAGTCTGGAGTAGTGGCATGGGGGGCTTCAGGTGTTGGCCGACCCCTCCCTGGAGCTTTGGTGGTGGGTCTTAGTCTGGGGGGTTGGGTTGGTATTTTTATAATAAGTTCTGTTAAGGAAAAATGGAGGTTATAATGAATCTGTAGAGCTATGGCAGCTAAAAATAACTACATAAAAATAGAGCTTACAGCTTATGCAATTCCTCTCATGTGGCTCCCTTACATGAACGGGGTAAGTAATCAATAACTTTTTAAGCCAATATTTAATCAGTTAAAAATTTCCACTGTTTTTAGGAATGTTTGGCTACCACAGATGACTGCACCACTCTATGCCAGTAAGTAAGACAAAAAAGATGATACATTAACAAATTTCCATGCATGATTTAATAACAGGATATAAGGTGTCAGCCAAGGTGTGTGCATTAAGAGTCACAGTTAAAGTCTGAAGTTTCATGGTTAGGAATAAAGTCCCCTGCCTCTGCTCCTGGCTCTCACAAAAAAAGCATTTGTAAAGACATGCTTCTACTTCTGCTGTCCTCTTCATTACTAATGATTGGATCGTTACCAGATTGTGAGAGCTCTGGCCTCCCTACTGTGTCAGATGCTTTATTCAGTGGGGCTGGACTCATGAACATTCAAAATCAATTCTCTCTGGTAACTGGAATGTGCAAAAAGACCTGGGTTGCCAGGACGACACAAAACAAGTTTTTTTTTAAAGCAGCCTTGAACTACAAAGGGCTGAAAATACTTTATTGCCTCAGCTTCCAGAAAGTTACCGGACTTGCTTATTCATACAAACTCTACTTTTAACTTAAAAATAAACTTAGGCTAGTCAAAGGCGATAGATGCATCATTCAGAATAATAGTCAACTGAGTTCTGACAATGCCACATGCACTTGAAAAGATATCATCACTCCTTGACTTGTATCCTAGCACTTACTCCTCCAACTTCACTCATCATTCATTTTATAGTAAGCAGAAGAAAAGAAAGTGACAAAAATGTTTTCCTAACTTGAGAAAGGAAGACAGAACAAAACTTTACCACTGTATTTTCTTAATGTGGAAGCGCAAACTGAAAAATCCTGAATTTTGAAATTTACATGGAAAACAACTTATAATTAACCAAGATTAAACTGTTTTGACATGAACAAAGTTAAGAACGTTTACCAATTGTATACTGAACATGCATATAAGAATATTTTTCTAAGTCTGAGATTTTCACATTTCTAGAGAGAGTATACTGAATGCAATCAATGCTACTTTTGGTTTTGGTTTAAATGCTTGTTGCACTAGCTGGGCTTAACCCTTCAAGGCAGGCAAGCTCAACCTCTGGCCCTCAGGCCAAATTCAGTACATGGGGCTCTCCACAGGTCTGGAAATGTGGTGGCAGGACAGCAGTGACCACATTCATTGTTGTGGCTTCCCGAGCTGGCACAGAGCACTAGATAATGCTTGTGAACCAACTCTGCACAGCAAGCATGTGCTGGATCTCGCCCCTGAATCAGCCCTGTGCCCCTCATCCAGCCCAAAGGGCCAGAAAGTTAAGCACCACTCTATAAGGGCCTAAGTGTTTGTCACTGAAATCAAAGCAGTAGGAACTGTTAATGCATTTTTAAGGTTGTACAGTTACAATTAACTATAAAAAATGTGAAAGCTCCCTACAGTAATATAGTATTAACCTACTCACAAACAAGTACAGGAAATATTGCCTAGGTGGTTAAATAAATACTACAGAATACAATGGATATAGCATTTCCTGGCTCTATTTTAATTGTCAAAATTTAATAATGCATTTATCTGACTTCATTTAATGTAAGTGACTAGATTCTGTACCTTTAATTCACCTACATTGTTGACATTGCAATGTTTAACAGTACAATACTGCACACAATCAAAAAAGCCTGAAGTAATCTATGAATCTTTCCAGACATGTAGGTGATTAAATGATCAAAAAGATTCTTCTGAGAGTATTTTCCTCATCCTTTTCCCACTTCCAAGTACTGGGAGCTCAGGGTTTGGACAAACATAAATCTGGAGCTGTTTTAAATAGAGAAGGGGGACTCTTAATCTAAACACTGCAGCAGCTGTTATATTCCAACAGTTATATGTGCACCAGTGGAAACAGGCATGGGGGAGGTGGACCATATAAATGTAGCAAAACTGCTCCAACTTCAACCCTGGATGAAGAGGTGCTAAGGCTGGAGCTGTTTTGCTAAATTTGTATCACTCCCAACTTGTCTACATGTAACTGGTAGAATGTAACAGCTGCTGTGCACTCCCAATCTGCAGTTCCCCTTTTGAAATGGCTCCAAATGTTTTTCCATTCCCTCACATCTTTTCAGTCCTCTTTGCATCCTTCTAATAACACAATACTGAGTCTCCTACAGTGCACTTCTCTACTCAGAGACTCCCCATAATTCATTGGTTTCTCAGGGGAAAGTACCACCGAAAAACAGATCCCACTGCAGAAATGGTGACAGGTAACCCATAAGAACATACAAATGGCACATTGCTTCAGATCAATGGTCCATTTAGCCCAGTATCCTGTCCCTCACAATGGCAGGAGCTGTTCAATGGCTATACATAGATCTATCATCACAGTAGTGTTCAATGGCTATACATAGATCTATCATCCATAATCTGCCTGGTCCCCTTTTTAATCTGACTATGCTATCTGCATCTACCACCTCCTATGGCAACGAAGTATCACGTGAGTTTCAAACCTGTCTCCTACAAATTTCACTGGATGCCCCCTGGTTCTAGTATTTTGGAACTTAGTGAATAACAGTTCCCTTTCCACTCTGTCCACATCCTTCATAATTTTATAAACCTCTATTATATCCCCCCTCATCCTTCTCCTTTCCAAAATGAAGACTCCTAACCTTCCTAGTCTCTTCTGGTATGGCAACTGCTCCATCCCCCGATCATTTTGATTGCCCTTCTCTGTACCTTTTCTAATTCTACTACATCCTTTTGAGATGACAGAGACCAGAACTGGAAAGTAATCAAGATGTGGGCGCACCATGTATTTGTATAATGGCATGATAAGGTTCTCCATTTTGTTTTCAATTCCCTTCTTAATTATGCCCAACATTTTACTGGCTTTTTTGATTGATGTTATACATTAAGCTGACATTTTCAGAGAACTATCTACAGTAACTCCAACATCTCTTTCCTGACAACTAGTAACAGCTAGTTCAGAACCCAGCATCAAATACTTACAGTGGGAGTTATCTTTTCCCCATGTGCATTGGCTTGCAATTATTGACAATAAAATTCATCTGTCATTTTTTTGCCCACTCACTTAGCTTGGTATGTAAGATCTTTCTGCAGATTTGATTACCCAGAATAATTTGGTAATATCTGCAAACTGATGATTTCACTATGATTCACCGATTTCCCCGGTTTCCAGATGATTGATGTACATTTTGAACAAAATTGGACCAGGCACAGATCCCTGAAGGACCCCACTTCTGACCTGAAAAGTGACTATTTGGCTCTACCCTTCACTTCCTATCTTTTAACCAGCTCTCAGTCCACAAAAGAACCCTCACTCCAATCCCATGGCAACTCCATTTGTTTAACAGCCTTTGATGAAAGCATTGTCAAAAGCTTTTTGAAAGTCCAAATATACTATGTCAATCCCTTTGTCTGTGTGTTTGTTAACACGCCAAAAGAACTTCATCAGATTGGTGAGGCAAGAGTTCCCTTTGCAAAAACCATGCTAACTTTTCCCCAGCAGATTATATGTCCATGTGACTGCTGATTTTATTCTTTATACACATTCTGCCAACTTGCCAAGGATGGAAGTGAGACTCACTTAGTTCCCAGGATCACATCTGGAGTCCTTTTTGAAGATGGATAGTATTATGTTAGCAACCCACCAGGCCTCTAGTAGATAGGCCTTTTGTAACAACAGATTACATACTATTGCCAACAGTTCTACAATTTCGCCTTCGAGTTCCTTTAGAATTCCTGGGTGAATGCCATCCAGTCCTGGTGACTATTGGTATTTAATTTATTGATTTGTTCTAAAACTTCTTCTGTTGTCACTTGAACATAGTCCAACTCTTCAGACCTATCTACTAAGGAGGACTGATCTGGCATGGGAATTTCCCTAGCACCTTCTGAGGTCAAAACCAATACAAAGAATTAATTTAGCTTCTCAGCCACGGCCTTATCACCCCTGAGTGTACCTTTTATACCTTGGTCATCTAATGGTCCCACTGATTCTCTCACTGTCTCCCTGCTTCTGATGTCTTTAAAAAAGTTTTATGAATAAGTTTAGCATCTTTTGCTAGACACTCCTCAAATTCTTTTTTGGCCTGCTCCATTTTACTTTTACGTGTGACCTGCTAGATTTTGTGAGCTTTCCTGTTTTTTTCGTTTGGGAAATTTTTATGCAATTTCCATTCCTAAAGTAGTATATCAGTATGGTAGTTGTTTTTGGCTGACTCTAGAATGATGCTGCAATGCTGAATGGGATTATGGTACGGTTGCTATTAAAGAGTGGCTTACCAAAAGATACCTCTTGAACCAGGTGCTATGTGTTACTTAGGATTAAGTCAAGAATGGCTTTTTCTCTTGTGGGTTCCCAGAAAAGTTATTACATCCAAAATGTTATCTTCACATCTCACTCTGATGATGTATTTACCCAGTCTATGTGAGGACAGTTGAAGTCTCCTATTATTATTGCTTGTTCCATTTTAGCAGCTTCTCTAATTTCCCTAATCATATCATAATTGGGACTACAATCCAAGTACTATATTCTTTTTATTCAAGAATGGCATTTCTATCCACAGGAATTCTATGGTAGTTTTCCTTTCAGATAAGATTTTTGTGTTGCTACTGTTTACACTATATTTAGCATACAGTGCCACTCCTCTATCTGTATCTCCTTGATAGTAAAACAGGGATTCAAACCTGGGGCTGGGCCAGGCCAGCAGATGGAAGCTGGGTCCTCAGTGCTATCACAGAAGTGGCCGAACACTGAGGACTATCTGCTGACTCGGCTACCCTGGGTTCAAATCCCCAAACAGTAGTACTCTGTCACTTCTGTATTATTTGTAACCTGGTATAACAGTATCCTATTTATTATCATAACAGGAGGGATGTGGACAACATAGAGAGGGTCCAGAGGAGGGCCACCCGCATGATCCGGGGACAACAGGGCAGACCCTACAATGAGAGACTGCAGGACCTGAACCTGTTCAGCCTTCACAAGAGAAGACTGAGGGGGGACCTGGTCACCATCTATAAACTCACTAGGGGGGACCAGAAGGGTTTGGGAGAGACCTTGTTTCCCCTAGCACCCCCTGGCATAACAAGGAATAATGACCACAAGTTGTTGGAGAGGAGGTTTAGATTGACATCCACAAGAACTACTTCACAGTCAGGGCGGCTAGGATCTGGAGCCAACTTCCAAGGGAAGTGGTGCTGGCTCCTACCCTGGGGGTCTTTAAAAAGAGGCTTGATGCGTACCTGGCTGGAGTCATTTGAGCCCAGTTTTTGTCCTGCCCAGCCAGGGGGTCGGACTTGAAGGTCTACAAGGTCCTTTCTGACCCTAAGTCTATGATTCTATGATCACCCTTCCATCAGGCCTCTGAGATACCTATTATATCAAAGTCACCATTTAATACAAGGCATTCTAGTTCACCCATCTTATTTTTTAGGCTTGTGGCATTCGAGGAGAAGCACTTAAAAATTTTGTCCCCCCTCATCTGCCTGTTACTGCTTGTGCTATTTGACTTGGATATTAGGGATGCATCTACACATGCACTTAATGTGCAGAAAGCTTACTGCTCAGTAAAATACTGCACAATAAGCTTTCCCTGGGAGCGCGTCTACACGTGCGCCTATCGGGAGAAAATTTGCTCCTAATGGGAGCAGTTCAGGGCAGGGCTACTCCTGACCTGCGCTGCTCCCATATGGCAGCCAGGGAGAGCACTAGACGCCCCCATATGCCAGCTGGGCTGGCAGGGGTCACCAAGGTCCGGCCTGGGTCAGGCCAAGGTCAGGCCTGGGCTGGGGGGAGAAAGCTGTTCCACTTCTAGGGCAGCTGCTTCCCACCCCACACCCCTGCCCCAAGCATCTGCCTCCTGCTATCTCTTTGAGATTAGAGCCAGGGCTGGGACACTGTCCCCTTCCCTGGCAGCTACCCACTGCTGGGGCCCAGCTCTAAGATTGGAACATTGTCCCCTTCCCTGGCAGCTGCCAATTGGAGTGTGGCCTGGAAAGCAGGCAGCTGCCTGGTGGAGGGGACAGTTCTTCCACCCCCTGCTGCCTGGGAGCAGCTGGAGTACTGTGTCCAGTTTTGGGCTCCACAGTTCAAAAAGGATGTGAAAAAGCTTGAGAGAGTCCAGAGAAGAGCCACGTGCATGATCAGAGGTCAGGAAAACAGACCTTACGATGACAGGCTGAGAGCCATGGGGCTTTTTAGCCTGGAAAAGTGCAGGCTCAGGGGTGACCTGATGGCCACCTACAAGTTTATCAAGGGTGACCACCAGTTTCTGGGGGAACATTTGTTCACCAGAATGCCCCAAGGGATGACGAGGTCGAACAGTTATAAACTACTGCAAGACCGTTTCAGGCTGGACATAAGGAAGAATTTCTTTACTGTCCAAGCCCCCAAGGTTTGGAACAGCCTGCCATCAGAGGTGGTTCAAGCACCTACATTGAACACCTTCAAGAGTAAATTGGATACTTATCTTGCTGGGATCCTGTGACCCCAACTGACTTCCTGCCCTTTGGGTGGGGGGCTGGATTTGATGATCTCTGAGGTCCCTTCCAGCCCTAATGTCTATGAAATCTATCTAACTGTGCACTACTGCACACTAACTAATGCACAGTAAATCTACTACCTGTATTTACAGGTAGTAGAAAACCATGCATTAGCTTATTTTAATGCACAGTAGTTGCTGTGCATGGTTACACAGTGATGCCTTACTATGCAGTAGGTTAGTTTACTGTGCAGTAAAGCATCTTGTGTAGATGGCACCCGAGATGTTCCCAATCAAAAACCCATGCTACTCTTCATGAGACAGGGAAAACAGGCATGAATGGGAAAAGGTCATATAAGAAGATAAAGTTGACATAGAACGTTTATTATGGAAGGAAGTGGTTAAATAATTCATACTCAAATGATTTATCTGAACTAATTTTTTATATTCAAATGCTTTATGTATAAATCAATGTTAAGAATACATTGAAGGGTGAAGCTCTGGGCAGCCTGCATCTGCACAAAGACAGAGAAATATATTTATTGTTTACTAACATGCATCAATACTACAAAACAACAAGTTACTTACTCTCTTTTGGCACAAACTTTAGAAGCCTGCTTTTTACTTTCACTGGCAAAGGCTCAACCTGGCATTTTCTTGGTGGCGCTCTCCTGTGAAAAAGACATAATACAAGATGAATTGCTTTCCAGTGGTATCAGGAGTATTCTTCCTGTCCATTGCATCCTTAATGAATTTAGCATCTACAAGGAAAAACATTCTATTTAAATCATCCAAATAGTCTCCTTAACACTACAGAAAAATCCTATTTTTTTCCAGGTATCAGAGAGTTCAAATATTCACGAGCATATGAAATATTTTGACTCCATTTTAACCTACCATTGCCTAATCCATCAAGGTAAGAATCATTAGCAGGCTTAAGCAATATGGAAAGAGGTGACTCAAACTGAAAAGATAATTATAAAGCTACACAATATTTATTATCTGAAATGAGAGCCACATTTCACATGCAAGTTCCTAAGCTATTTCCATAGAAACACGATGACATTAAATTATTTATATATTTAAAACAAAATCACAACACTTCACTTTGGACCATAATCAACATAGCAATAAAAAGGGGCTAGACAAAAGTATTTAAATGAAAAAAAAATCCGGAAGTCAATACAATGAGTTGCTCTTTTAAGCAGCACCAGAAGTGTATTCACTTCATGTCAGATTTCTACATTCAGTGTGCCTTTTATAGAAACATTCCCTTAAGATGATGCATCAATTTGGCACAAGCTTGTTTGCCATAGCAGTGTCCCTCCCTGTTGAGCTGCTAAACCCGGGAAGCAACCATTTTTCCTCTCTTATGTTTGTCTTGTTACGTTGATGGCCTCTTCTGAAGATTTGCAAAACTGTGCAACAGCTGGATAAATTATTCTAACTTTACACATGCACAAATACAGTACATAATCCCTACAGGAGAGAGTAGTGTGTATATATTTTGTCTGGGAATAAGAGTGCAGTAACTGGATGTGAAGAACGCCTCTCTCGCTTACTGACTTCTAGATATTCTACACTCTTGTAAGCCATTCTACAAATTCTGAGCAGCAGGGAAGTGTGGGGCTGAGAACACGTATCAGTCATTCTTAAAGACTACATCCATTTGGGCACAAGTCTGAAAGAGTAACCCACTGTAAAATAGCAGCTTAGTTTTTTAGAAGACAACAGTTTATCCTCACAATCAGCAAAAAACAAGTAACCTGCTGAAAAGCAAGTCCATGACCACCAGCGGGTGCAGACAGCAAGCCTTATGGGAACCAAGAACATCAGCATGGTGATGCTTAGGCTAGAAATAGATGTCACTAAATGAAGCAGATCATCTGTGCTGGGATATGTCTCAGCATAACTGATCCACTTCACTGAGCAAAACACATTGCCTGCTGTCCCACCTGTTGACATTGTAGGGTGAAAGATATGTTCCCCCACCTCCAGGGATGTGTTCCCAGCAACCTCTGTGGTTCCTGGGGAATGCCAAGGGCATGTCTCTAGAAGCAGGGAAAGCCAGGCATATGCTCCCAGGATTTGAGGCACTCAATCCTCCACAGGAATTTGTGGAACATATAGGATTAGTCCCCTGAAGCTCTGGGAGTGCCTGCCTGGGGTGGTAGGAGAGTGTGGGAAGTTCTGGGATGCCCATGCTCTCCTACCATAAAATAAATAGATATCCATTGCAATGAAGCAGCACAATATATGCAACCAAATGTATGAACATCTATTAGCTGTCACTTTGTGCCACTATTAAAATTTTTATGGCGGCACAAAGACAATGGAAGACAACATCTGTTTCCACCCTTTGGCAACAGCTCTCCATTTTAAGGCCAACCCTGATTAACTGTTACTGTCCGACGAGGAGCTAAAGGAAATAAGAGCAATTTACTTAACCCACAGTCATCAATTACATTTGAACCCAAGTCCAAAGAATCAAATTCAATTTTTGTAATAAAAGCTTTTCTTACCGAGACGTGTCTACTATCTTGTAAACTACTCCATTGGGAGCAGTGGCACTTGGAATCCCAGTAGACATGAAGTAAAGTTCTCCTTAGAAAGATACATGAAAACAGATATGAAAGCTTTCCATGAATGTTAGTTCTACACAGAGTGAAAGCATTATCTCTGCATCATACAGCAGCAGCTTCAGTGCCAACAGCATAGCTTCAAAGGAAACTCCGAGAAATGTATTCATATCTTTGTTACAAGTAATCAAAAAAAAAATGATTGGTATTCATAAATATATTCTAGAACCATAACATAAGAAGTACTTTATGTGGATATATGTTTACACATTAACATAAATTATTTTGACAAATTTTCATTAAATATTAAGGCATCCAACACACCAACTATCAACTGAGTCTTCTGTGCAATCACTTCATTCATTTAATAACGATTCCCTCCTGAATACTGTATGTTAACATAAAATGAACTACAATTAAGATTGTTCATTTATCCCATTGGATTAATTTATGCAGGAGCAACACTATGATTCCTGAATCTTTAGTCTGCTCTCATACATGGGATGTGTATCTCATGAGAAAGGCAATAGGATTGTCACAGCTCTGATCAACTGAACAGTTAGGGCTGGACATTCATCCAAAAAAACTGGCCAATATTTGCTTCATTTTTAATTTTTAAACAAAGTTCTTTTGACTGTGTTTGCATTCCTCTCATGTTCCCTTTGTGCAAATAATCTAGCAGATTCTGGCAAGAGTACAAATTTCAAAGTGTCTGTTACACAATATTCAAGGTAAGTGAACTTCCAAGTAGAGAAACAGGACTACTCATCTCAGGAACCCAGCTTAGTAATCAGTCTGTATGGGTACACACCACTTGAGCAATACATTGACACAGAAAAAGCAGATTATAAAATACAACAAAATGGACAGGATGGTTATGTACCAAGAATTAAATTGCAAGCATTTTCAAGTAATTGGAGAAAAATGCTTTTTAATAGTTCCATTTTTATCAAGTAGATTAGATGAAGATTATTCATACAGCCCCATCTACCCTGGAGAATTTGATGCCACAACTCACTGATTTTCCCACTCCCTTTGTCGACCAGCCTGCCTGATAAATCACGGAAGCATAGAAAAGTAGGGCCCTCAAGACATCAACTTGTTAGACGCTCTGCCTGAGGCACAAACACCTCTGTTTAAACCATCCCATACAAGGTCTGTCTAACTTATTCCTAAAAACTATACAATCAACCCCTTGCACAAGTACAAGGCATGTTGCCCCTAACATGCCAAGAGTGTCCTAACTTGCCATAAGTAAAGCAGGGGGAGTGAGGGCTGTCAGTGTCCTGCCATTGCAATAAGGTTGCACTGCATTCTTCATCTCCTAGAGCAGTGGTCTCCAAACTTTTTTGATTGCGCACCCCTATCAGTAAAAAATTTTTGAGCATGCACCCCCAATATATGTATATTTATATAAATATACATATAAATAGAAGTTCTAATATTTTCTTCCTGCACCCCAATGAATCGTCTTGCACACCCCCTGGGGTGCACACACCCCACTTTGGAGACCACTGCTCTAGAGCATAGAGAAGATACTCCATGGCCTCAGACACATTGTAAAGGATATTCTCTGGGCTCCTCAGGGCTCATCACTCAGGAAAGCAAAAAGGATACACAAGGCAGTTGAGATGGGGAGAGGAAAGGGGAGGGTGAAGGCTAACCTATTAGATTCTTTACAGAGTCTCCTAAGAGCACAGTGAAGATGAGAAAAGGAAGCAGCAGAGCCAAGATCAGGTCAACACAGAAACTGAAGTGTACCTCATGTGGAAATCCTGAGGTCTTTACTCTGGTTTTGCATTGTGTTTACTTATGGAAATTCCCCAGGCTCTCTCATATTTTGTCCCTGCAAGTGCCATGACTCATGTGTAATTTTCCAAATATCTGCATCTGATTAAAGTCACTGCCCTACTCACAAATTCAAACATGCAGACAAACTGAACCAAGCAATCTAATTCTTACACATGTATAACATCTGGCGGTGGTGCCAATCCTTTGGTATGAGGATGAGTCTTCCAGTACATAAGGGAATCAATGGTGAATCTGTAGCTGACTGAGAAGGCTGATTAATGATCTGAATGTCTGACCGCATATGTGGCAAACAGTTCTATGAGGAAGGAGTAAATCCTGATGATGTCAGGTCACAGCTCTTTCCCTTGGTCTCTCTCATCTATCTGCCTCTATAATGAGGCAAGTTTGCTCAAAATGACTGGTGTCTTGTCAAACATCATGGCACCATTGGAGCAATTCAGTGCTTGAGTCTCCCAGGTATGATGTTAATATCACATTTCTTCATATTGGCCTTCAAGGTGTCCTTGTATCTCCTATTTTGCCTGCCTCTAGAGCGCTGACCATCAGTGATTAGGAGTATAGGACCCATTTTGGAAGCTAGTTGTCAGGCATCTTTACAACATGTCCCAGGTATGTAGTCAATCAGGTGCCAGTGTTCTGAGCTGGGGATGCATCCCTGCTGTCTTCCGTTTGTTGCTTTGGCAGGATAAGGAGTTCGTGATGATGAGATCATGTTCTGAACACTTGCTCAGGAGAAAAAATCCATTTGAATTGACTTTCCCCACCCCTTCCTTTCCCAGAGTTCCTTTCCATAGCTCAGGATCCCTGTCCACTCTAGCACTAAAATTGCCAAGAAGGATTATCTTATCTTCTTTGGGAACAGATGACAGGACTTGGTTCATTTTAGAATAGACTTCTAGACGAAGTTTTATCATCTGCATCAAGGGCAGGGGCACTGATGGCTGCTGCATGTTGTCTGTTGGTCAGTTGAAGATGACGGCTCATGAGATGCACCAATTCTGGCACCTGAGTAGCGATCTTGGGCTTGATAGCAAAACCAACACCATGTCTTTTCCTTTCCAAAAATGGTAAAAAAACAAAACAAAACAAAACCCTATTTCTTATACATGCTATACACAAACCAGTGGTTGACAACATTTTTCAGCAGTGGGCTGGGGAAACCCAGCTAGGGTCTGAGGTAGACCAGCTCCAGGGCCTGTCCACTGCTGCTTCTCACTGGCCATGGCCTGGCACAGGCAAAGATCCTGATCACCTGGCTGTGACAAAGCTCATCCTGGTCATAATGTGGGCAAAGCCTTCCACTGCCCAAGCCTCCCAGCTCTGCAGACAAGATCAAATAGCTCCAGGGGCTGGATCTGGCTTGCAGACCCTAGGTTGCCAACCCCTGATGTAGACACAGTTCCACCATCTTCCTTTAGTGAGTTGGTTGTCAAGATTAATTCAGTTTTACATGAGTTCCATAAAATATACAAAGATGTATGTTTGCAGTTCCATGGGAGAGTATGTTAACACTCTAAGGAATAACCCTATAAATTAATATTTCAGTAAGGAAAGTGCTATCCAAATCACTGACAAGTAAAGTTATAAATCAAACTCTCTGCAGATGCCCAAGAAAACCCAAAAGAAAGAAATATACTAAATTAGAGATACCTTTTCTCTCCATTTTACTAAAATGAGCACGTAAAAAAGCTAAAAAATGGGAAAATTGTATATGCAGTTATTCCCCACCATCTATGTCAAACATCATCTGCTCAACCTTTCAGGAAAAACAATGATTTTTAGAAACATACTTCAGAGTTCTTGGCAAGAGTCATTACAATCAGAAGCCAACAGACATTTCAATGGATAAAAGCACAAAATCCCAAATTTCAAAGTCATCCATGCTGCTGCTTAGCAACCACGCTAAACATTTGTTGCGCAACTCTAGTCTGTCTACAGCTATAAATTATATAGTGTGTTTGGCCTTTCAGTCCCAAGCAATTAACAAGATCAGTGTAGTAACAGAGATAACCAATGACAAGTTTTGCCCTAAGATCCTCTATTCCCTTGACTTCAGATCATATGAACTCACTCGTGCAGTATAAACTGTAGGTAACTTATTTTGAGATCTCTCTAAAAATATATTTATTTAAAACATAACTAAGGCCAAATCCTTTTTCCCTACTTAAGCAAAACTCTCATTGACATTAACATAAGATCAGCTGGAGGCTGAAGCTAAAAGTAAAGATAACAAGTGTTTTTAATTCGTAGATTGCCAGAAACTCTAACAATGTAAAACCCATTTGTAAATTTCCTTTCAAGTAAACAATATTCTAGGACAGTCTAAGCAAGTTTCACTATAATGTGCTTATTGCAGATTATTTTCTGTTACCCATTAATAATGTCATGGCCAGTCAACAGGCAAGCCAAAAGCATTAACTTGTATCAAATACCATTCTTCTTGCACAGCCTGCTAGTACTAAGGTGCAGTGTCTATGGTTTTCTCAAGAGTCAGTTTGAGTTTTCCCTCTCTAAATTGTCTTTAAACATATTTACTCCATGTATTCACTGTCTTCTGAAATGACAGTGGTTCAGGAGGTAAGGTACATGAATCAATGTAAAAATATGCCAAGCGGACTTCCTGATCTCTTGTGACTGCACTTTGGCTGCTCAGGGAAGATGACACTACCTGAAAATTATGAGTGTTGCATTTTTTCTGGAGAACCTGTTGTCGAATGCATCTATTCTGTGACTTCTGTAAGAGCTACCTCCCAGAATCCGTATCCCTTAATCTATAAAAGTATTTTCATTCCTAGATGCAGCTTATAAACTAACTAAATCAGAGATGCATAAGCTTTTGTGAGGTGCATCTCTACCTTGCTTTTTGCCTGACTTCAGACTAACATGGCCATGGCCGTAGCAAGGGAGGGACAAGCAGAGCAACTGCCCTGGGCACCAAAGCAAAGGGATGCTAACAAGCGCTGCCCAGCCAGGATGGGGTGCAGAGCAGAGCCACAAGTGGCTCATTTAGTGGGGCACAGAGATGGGGGGAGGGCTTCCACCTCTGTGTGCACTCCCAAGCAAGCATGGGGAGGCGTCTGTCCCCCGGATCTGTGTGCAGGGCAAGGGCGGGCTGCTACTGCGGGCTTTGCCCCAGGCACCAAACTTTTTTGCTGTGGGACTAAATGTGACTAACTACCTTCTCTCTACTCACTCCTAGATATTTCACTTGAAGACAAAGCAAAATTCAGTGTTATATTATCCAATTACCTGCCTCGTCTTCTGCAAAAGAGATGATATATTGATAGTAGTTATTGATAAGACCAGGGAACACACACGTCTGCCCTGTTCCCATGCAAATTTCATTGTATTGCCATTGTCCAGTAGCACGGTTCTCTTTCAGGGACATTAAACGTCTGCAAGACAAAAATAAAATTAACTTGAATCAGGCAATTGGCAAAGATGCATTTAGTCTATCAGTGCCAGATGGGATAATAAAGAGTACCCAACCCTGTGAAGGGATGAGTGCATTCAGTTCACATTAGACACAATGTGAGCCTTATCAGTATCAGATAATTGATTCTCATGCATACATACAGTACACACTTCTGGACAAATACTTTTGGAACTATCTTCTGCAGTTGGACACTTTGCATTGGAGAAGTCTTTATGGATGCACCTAATGCAGAATACTCATTTACTGTACTCTACTTTTATCATTTTACATAAATGTCAAAGTGATATACATTTGCTTGTACTTGCACTGAATGAATCAGAAACATCTACTGCTGTTGTGATAATCACGTTAGTGCACACTAACATAGAAATGTGGTACATAAAATAGGTTACTTGAGTCTCTTGTAATAAGCAGTAAGGATTTGCACTCAGGGTATAACCAGCAAGTAGCAGCAAGTCAGCAAGGGTTACACTGCATAAGCATTTGCAGACATATGCAGCATAAGTAGAGAATTTCAGCTGGAGTTAATGCTCGCTGAGTGACTGGAACATGCACTTACCCACTCATAAAATCACCAAATATGTACAGCCCATTCAAGTTTGGAGACTCACAACCCCGATAGACATAGCCTCCTGTAACAGATTTCCCCATTTTGTGTGGATAAGCATAAATTGGAAGCACATCATCTGTGGAGGGGAAAAGATACTGTATCTCGCCTTGTTTATGTATGAGGCAGAGTCACTGTTCTACATATGAGAATGGTAGATAGTTATTAAATTGGATAGTTATTATATATGTACCAGTCCCTTGTTATGTGATAAACCAACTACTGAAGAGAATCACATTTAATTCTGTTTTTGTTTTTATTTTAGCCTCTCCAAACCACCCTGACTAATGTCTTCCCTCACCCTAACTAATGCTTTCCCTGAAATGGCTGTGATAACTAGGAGCTGCTAGTTGACCTAAGAGGCAACTGCTGTGTAAAATAATTTCATGAAGGATAATTTCTTGCTCTGTGATTAACTAAATGCTGCCACAGGAGAGGGTGAGCTGATTTCCTGAGCCTTGCCTTCCGTCTTCGAACAGGGCTGCAAGGAAATAGGATGCTCAGACCCTGTCAAGACCAGAGCCAATATCTCCTCTCTCTCTAAAGGAGGGGACCTTAACTCTAAAGAGAATCAATAGTTATGATAAGATGCCCTGACAACATCACACGCTTCATGTAAAATCCTCCTGAAAGGCCCACAAGGCATTACTAGGGCTGAGAGCATGCTGTGATCATTTTGTGGTCCAGGATAAATGCTTCTGTCTTTCCTTCCCCATCTCCTCTTCCACGCTGGGTATCAAGACAAGAGGTGTTTACTTTCCCCCCTTCTTTCCCTCTTTCATAAAAGCTAGGAAGCAGGAGAAGGAAAAACTATTTTTCTCCCTAGCCTGTTTTCCCCACTCTGTTTTCTCACAACCCTGAAGGCTTCACTCTGCCAGCTCTGGCTTGGCATGTCCTGCAGTCTCCCCTGCAAGTGCCCCTATGATGTTCAGTTGGCTCTGTCTGACCATCACACAGCTGAATTGTGCTCACTCTAATGCTTTAGAGTATCCAGTCTCTCATGTACTACTACAGTCACACTAGAACTAGTACTGATAGGACATAAATGGAGATCTAGCAGCTCTTCTGTCCCAAAGAGTACAACTCACCCCATTGGTGACATGGGATAGTGTGGGCAAGGACATCACCTCCTTGGGTCAGGTGACAATTCCTTTGTGTAGGCCAGAAAACTAATAAACCATTCTTATTAAGAAAGCCATCTCTACTATATAATATGGCACCTGATCCTGAGAGATCCCAAGCACCTACAACTCCCAAAGAGCAGGCCCAAAATGACATGTACATCACTCACGAATCCAGGAAGAGGAGAACGTATTCTATATGCACTTTGTGTACACACTAGAGGACTCATTTACAGCACGTTTTTCTCATTTGTAGCACAACACATGCTCATTCAGTATGTGGATCAAAATTTAGTCAGCTAGCATTTGTATTGAGTCCAAGTGTTAAAAATTAATTTATGAGCATTTTTGCTTTCCAGCAGGAAAAAAAGCATGTTGCATGTACAATAACTTTTTAAAAGTAGGCAAAGCAAGCAATCCACCTACAGGATTACTTGCATGCAGAAATTCTTTTTCTAAAGAAACCATTTGTGAGTTATGGAGAAAAAGCAGCAAAATATTAATGTTTCAGGGACAAGGGAGTGCTTTAAGTTAATGCAAACTGTTCCTACTTTGCAGACTTTTGATAATATGTAGCTGATGTAGCAAAATTAAAAATCATCCCATATGCACATTTGTGCAAATTACAGCAGCTCCACGAAAATTTGGCACAGTTTGGCATAATAAGCAGCATATTGAGCCAAGAAGTGGAACAGCCAGGGCATTAGAGCTAATATCATTTTTCTCATAACTCTTAATGGTAATGTATTAATGGTTATTTTATGTTTCGTTGGGTTTTTTTAGCTCAACTCACTCCCAGGCCAAGACTGCATCTGCCAAGTTTAGGCCATAAAATACATGTTTTTGCAACTGAACAATAAGCCTGTGAAAGGAAAAATTCAAAATGAAAGCACAGGAAGCAGCACAACAGGATATTAAGGTCATTTCTTTAGAAAGTACAATTACCTATTGAGGAATTGGTGCAAAGTTTTTTATCATAGCAGCTGAATCCTTCCCTTGCCCTCCAGCCATAATTTTTTCCTTTCTCTACGATGTCGATTTCTTCAAATTTATTCTGTCCTACATCTCCACAGAAAAGTCGCCCTTTCCCTTCCTTTGTATAGGGTTCACCCCTATCAAAAGAACAGCGCCACATATTCCTCACCCCATAGGCATAGACTTCAGGACGAGCTGTTGGATCATTAACAAATGGGTTGTCTGGAGGAATTCTATAGAGAGGCCCACGGTCATTATTGTCCACGTTGATCCGGAGCACTTTGCCTAACAATGTTGATCTGTATTTGTACAAAGAAAAGAGGGAAAGAGAGAAAAGAACAGCTCATTAAAAATGCATTCTTATCCAAAGATAAGTATTAAAAAAGTACATTTTAAGACTTCAATTCTGTTTCAGAAAGCATACATTGTTCGATGCACCAAAAAAATCGTGCCATTGACTATTATGGGAGCTACCCTCCTCTTTCTGAAGTAAGCTATAGCTTTGCAAGGGATGTAAATGAGAATAGGATTTGTACCATCATGCAAAAGGAAAAAAGAGAGGTAGTTAGCTGCATTAGTTTGAGGTCAGGCAAAAGGCAGGGCAAGGTGTCCCCTTGGAGCAGCAGTTCTCAACCATGGTGCCATAGACTGCCACTCAATGTTGGCACTGCTAAGTTTGCAAACACCTACATGATTCAAAAGATAAACACAGAGACTGCAAATAGGAATCCACAGTGTCGAAAACATTTGGATCTGTTGTGGTCTTGTCAAACTCTTTGCAACAGAAGAATTTCTCTCTTATTTTTCCCTCGCTAAAAACTGATTGAAAGCTAAGGGTTGACATTTTCCAAGAGGAAATGTGTTAACTGTGTTAGGCTTGGTCTCAACAAAGACTATGGATTCTTATCCCATTACCCGGACTAGCTTTTAAAACCCTATTTCCCTAAATGACTTAGTGGCTTTGTTTACCCCTATTAACCTATTCAAGCCACCTTCATCTCTCGGCAGTGTCTCCTCTATCTTTTGCATTTAAATTCCCTTCTGTTTAGAAATCTTGCTTTCTACAAGTCCATTCATAGCAGCTGTAGGGGGTCATCTCCTACATAAATTTATACCTCTCTGAACCAGTTAGAAGGTGACAATTTTCCCTCCCTTCTGCAATAGAAAAAGTGATTTAAAGGAAAAAAAATGAGGCCCTGATACTGCAGACAGTCATTTACTTGTTTAACTTTAAGCACATATCAGTTTATTTGACTTTAGTGAGATTACTCATAGGAGAAAAATTAATCTGTCAGGTAAGAGTTAGCAGAATTGGGGTCCCAGTGAATTTATTATTCATGAAAGATGTGGGCTGGACAATGCTTCAAACTGCAGCTGTCTATTTATCCCACAACGGGTGGCAGCACAAGCTTCCCCACAGTGACCCAGAAGTGAGGATTAATGGGATCCCCTGCAGTGTAACAGCAGTTCCCCTGCCCAACCAGAGACTATCCTTGTTGCTGCCAGCAAAAATGCCAGTTCTGGGGATACAGGGGTGTAGGTTGTAGCCATGTTGGTCTAAGGACATAGGCAGACAAGCTTTTTGAACCCGAAAGCTTGCTTAATAATTGTTTTCCAACTATTTAAGTTGGTCTAATAAAAGATATCAGATTCATGCGAAGAACCTTGTTTGCCAATTCTGGGGATGGTTTTTGTGACCTGAACATTAGCAAGTGAACCAAGACCCTTACATTTTACTTGGGTCACAGAAAAGGATTCAGATGGTAATGACATTTTACAACTATCAACTAGGCAGATTTAAATTAAAGGTTTGTAGGCGAAAACCTCTCTTTCCCCTGTTACCAATTAACTACACCACAAAACCCCCAGAAAACTGAATTAAGTTCAGAACATAGGTTCAATAGGTGCTTACATTAAAATCAGAGACAATTTCTGTAATTTTTTCTCTAGAGAAATTAAAATATGCTGCTCTAATTTCAGTTACAGGAATAAGCATTATATATATGTGCACATATGCATACGCGTGCATGTTGATGTATACATAATGTTAAGGAAACAATAAGCATAAGAAAAATACAGCTGTACTTCCCATAGCTTCTCTCTTCTACTTAAAAAAAGGAAGATGCAAGCAGCACACAAACACTTAGATGCTCATACTTGTTTTGAGCATTTCCAAATGTCCCAAAAGGATCACCAGCCATTCCTCCATCCCCAGTAAATATGTAAAGATAGCCATCATCTCCAAAGAGTAGCTCTCCTCCATTGTGATTAGAAGCTGGCTCTTCTATCTCTAGAATTATCCTGATCAAAAACAGGAATGAAGTATTATCAGTTGGACAAATTATAAGCAAAAGGCATATTAATCTAACACAATCCTTTACATACAAAACGGTATGAATATCAGTTCAAATGTCTCCATTCCCACATTACAGAATGTTGGTCATCACAACTCTAGAGAAACTAGTGGAGACTTTTTTCTTATGTATTATAGGCACAGAGCTAGATTTTGATCTGAACATACTTTTTAAAATGATTCATTTTTTGACCTGTACAATAAAGAACACTTGTCATCTGGAATTCTAGAAATTACAATGGCTGAGCATACTTACATTATCCCACAAAAGTTTAATACTATGGAACCATATTATGGAACAGTACTATAAAACCTATGTAACCATGTGATATTATCTTGTATTATTTTTGTCCTAATCCTCTTTCTTCCTCCTGTTTTTCTCAGTTTTTGCACCTTGTTTTAAATCAGATTTAATGATTCAGGCTTACTTGTGCATTTGTATGGTACATGGCACAATGTGGCTACAATTCTTACTTTCAAAGAAATAACTCTTTAAAATTATTAAATAATAATTATATTCGATGGTAGAGATTAAACTTATTAAGTAGAATTATATAAGAAATAATTTACCTGCTCCTGGAATGTGTTAATTACTGACTAAAAAATTATAGGGACTTTTTAAAGGGAACATACACGATCAGTATACTCATAGAATCATAGAATCAGTGAGTCGGGAGGGACCTAGACAGATCATCTAGTCCGACCCCTTGCCGTGGGCAGGAATGACACTGGGGGTGGGAGAGGTCACAAGACCCCAGCCAGGTGCCTATCCAGTCTCCTCTTGAAGATCTCCAGGGAAGGTGAGAGCACCACCTCTCTGG